GCTATCTGCCCCCAGGCAAGGAGGTGATGGGGCCTACCTCCCACCAAACCTCCCAAGGCAGGGGTGGTGGGGTGGGGGGCGGTCTCACTTACGTCCAGGCCCGCTTAGCACCCCCTCTCTTTCCCACTGACTATAGGACTTGTACACATGCTCTCCTTCTCTGGGCTTATTTCCTCAATTGTAAAACAGGATAAAACAATCAGGCCTGCCCCTAATATTTGCAGGGACTGGGACAGGCATACAAAACGTCGTCCATATACCATCAATCTAAGTATTTAAAAGTTACAAATGAAGCCAAGCACACACATTGTTGAGTAAAGTATGTCCCATCCTCCTACTTTGGCAGGCATACCTTCAAAAGAATCCAGAAGCCGAGGTTTGCATTTAGAACCCTAGGGGTCCCGGGAGGGCTGGCCAGGACGTGATGGCCCAACCCCACTGGCTTCCTTTGCTCCCCACCTGCGTCTGTCTCTCCCTGGGGGTGACATATGGGTGCCTGCCCAGCCACACACCCATGCTCCAACCATGCTGCCAACCGCCGGCCTCTCGGGCACCCAGGCAGCCTCGCGTGCTTTGGGAGGGTGGGCCCAGCGCAGAGGCCCATGCGGGCCCTGTGGGAGGGCAGTGGGGTTACTTGGGCAGGGAATGCTTCGTCTTCGGACCTGGGAGTGTGCTCTAGAAGTGGGGGCCCTATGACCTTCTCAGCCCCAAGAAGGGGCACATCGGGGTAAGGGCCCACTGAGGGCCTTCTGGGTGTGACTCCCAGGGCGGGTTTGCCGTGAGGGGGACGATGAGATCGGAACCCCAAGTCAAGGATCAGCACAGTGCCTGGCACACGGTAGGTGCCCTATAAAACGTTGCTACTTTATTTTTGTTATGTTTCTAGTCATTAGGAACTGGACGAGGCGCCTCCACCCTCAGCCCTCTGGCCACCCACCCCAGACTCTGGGCTCGCGGACAGCATCCCCTGCGCCCTCGCCCTCACTCTGCTCAGCCACTTCCCTTCAGAAAGCCCTCCTTCCGAAGGTCATTAGGGAAGTTTCTGGTCCGTCTTCAGTGTGTCAGACGTTTCCTCCCGGAAGGAGTCTGCCTTGCCCCTTCCCGTTCTGTCTGGTCGGGTGAGCCGGTCTCTGCCCGCTCCCCGTGGACCGTTAGGCCCCGGTCCGAAGCTGGGGTGGCCGCCTCTCACTGCACAGGCCCCTGTCCCGGCCGGTGGGTCCTGGACACCTCAGGACTTTGCTTCTTTTGCTCTGCCCAGCCTGGCGGGCAGCCAAGCACCAAACTGATTGCTGAGCTGAGGAATTTAACTTGGTGCTCAGAAATCCCTGCTGGAATTTTCCGTTGAGATAAGCAGGGGTGAAGGTTTTGAGGCAAGGCAGGCGACCCTTTTCTGCTTATCTCAAAGGCCCTAGGAGATAAGAACATTCTGGAAGATCTGTCCTTCAGCCATCTATCACATGAGTCTGATCCTTTAACGCCCACTCTGTAAGGAAGCCCGAGGAGGAAAGGGAAGCCCTCTTCCCCACGGACCCCCAGACAGGCCCACTGGGCATGCCTCCTGGGAAGGGGCTGTATCGACGGTCGTGGCCTCTGCAACAGGAGTCGGGGGGCTGTGGGGTCCGGGCAGGTCGTTGGCAGTGTCCGCTACGTGGCCTGATAACCGCGTCGAAAATCTCAGAAATGTTCCTGTGGCAGTGGCTCAGGCGTTTGCCACGTGACCCCAGGGAGGCAAATGGGTGGAAAGTTATGGAAGGCCCGTGTGGATGGGAAGGAGCCCGCATGCAGGGGGGCCGCCTCACGGAGGGAGCAGAGGAGCTCCCCGTCCCTGGTGATACTGGAGCAGAGACCGAAAAATCCGTTGGCCGGGGTGCTGCAGAGGTTCTTCCGACACCAGATAATCCCCAGGGGCCCTTCCAGCTTCAAAATTCCAGGATTTGGGTTTTCTTTCAAGAGGGGAATCGAAGCCTGTGGACGGGGGTGCTCGTATACGTGGGTTGATGCAGGAGCATAGCAAAGTGGCAGCTCTGTGAATGCCAGGACAGGGACGTTGATGAAATGCCGAGGGAGAAAGCTAAAAGGTTGGCACAAGTCTATCAAGATAATATTGGCGGTGGGCACTTAAGTAAATTGCTCGCGTACTATTTGTGCCTAGTTTCCACAGCAAGCAGCAGTGATTAGGGTTATGGCGCAGAATGTGCTCTAAGTGTCGATCCTCCCTGTCGGGGAGTTCTTTGTGCCTGGGTCTGACTGTGTCTATGTGGGAATGCATCTTCAGACTGATTGATTGATTCATTGATTGATTTAAAAATTTTATTTATTCATTTGAGAGAGAGAGAGAGCATGAGCACCGGGGAGCAGCAGAGGGAGAGGGAGGAGCAGACGCCCTGCGTGGCAGGGAGCCCGACACGGGGCTCAATCCCAGGACCTCGGGACCATGACCTGAGCCGCCGGGCTGATCCCAAGACCCTGAGATCGTGACCTGAGCTGAAGTCAGCCTCTTCGTCGACTGAGCCCCCCAGGAGCCCTGTTTCTTTAGATTTAAACATGAGAGCGCAGGTTTCTCTCTCTTGGTGGATGTCTCTTTGGATTGAGGTCGTCTTACAGAGATGAACGGCACATTTGGGACCCTCAGGTGGGGAGCAGGTGTGGAGGGTAGTGAGTGCAGAGGTCCCTGTGGGAGGGACAAGACTCAGCCGGGTGATGCATGTGCAAGCTAACACCGAGACCAGAAAAGTGATGAGCCCCCCGGACCTCACGAGTAGCTGGGTCCCAGCCTCTCACAGTGCCCCTGGGCCTTGTGAGGTGGGAAGGGGTCAGGGTGTTTGGGGTTGGCCTGAACCCTAGGGCCAGCGGGTGGGTCCCACCATCCACCAGCAGTGTGCTAATGGGGAGCTTTCCCTCTGGGTCAGCTGGGCAGGGGGAGGGCTTTAGCTCACACTGGGGTAAGCAGGATTCTAGTGTGGCTCTCGAAACCACTGGCGCATGGTGTCCACACCTGGTATGATCCCCTCCCCCTGAGGGTGCTCAGGGCTCCTGAGTTAGGTTGTGTGATATGGCAAAGGGGAAGGGGTGTTTGCAGATGTAATTAAGGTCCCTTATCAGTTGATTTGAGTTAATGAAAAGGGAGAGGTGCCTGGTGGGCCTCACCTAATCAGGCGAGCCCGTTAAAAGAGGGTCTGGAAGTCAGACAGACTCTCCTGCCGGCCTTGAAGAGCAGGCTGGCCTGTGTGAAAGGGCCACATGAGGGCGCCTGGGTGGCTCAGTTGGTTGAGCGACTGCCTTCAGCTCATGTCATGATCCTGGAGTCCCGGGATCGAGTCCTGCATCGGGCTCCCTGCTCGGTGAGGAGCTGCTTCTCCCTCTAACCCTCCCCTCTCTCATGTACTCTCTCTCTCTCTCATTCTCGCTCTCTCAAATAAATAAATAAATCTTAAAAAAAAAAAAAAAGAAAGGGCCACATGAGGGGCCACAGGACAAGGACCAGCAGGGGGGCTGTAAGAGCTTCGGACGACCCCAGGAGATAGCCAGAGGGAGAACGGGACCTCACTCCTACAACAGCAGGGAGCTGAATTCTGCCCATGACCAGCTCAGAAGGGACCTTGGACTCCGGAGAGCCTGGCTGCAGCCTGTGAGACCCTCAGCAGAGGACCCAGGAAGCTGTGCCCTGGCTCCCGACCCACGGAAACTGAGAGATCTTAAACATGCTCATGGCCCTCTGTTCCACAGCCAGGGATGAAGACCGGGCCTGAGCCTGCCGGTCGGGCCCTCAGTAATATAACCTCCGGACAGCTGGAGAGTCATGGGAGCTGAACGGACTCCAGAAATCGCTTCTCTGGACAGGGCCTGGCTTTCAAATCCATTGTCTGACTGCAGGCACAAATCTCCCGTTTTGGATGTCAGATGCTGGTTATTAACTATCTTGTCTCCCCCTTCCTGCCATAAAACTAGTCTTGACGACTCCCTCTCATTCTGGGCCCCCTTCCCCCAACCTGCAGGAAGGTGGGTACTTCACCATAACTGGGAGAAGCCCATCCATGTTGAGAAAGAAAAGCACATCCCTGTCTTTCAGAATTGGACCCTCCATCATATGGGTTATAAGCAGAACAACACATCATCACCCAGACCTTTGGGTACAGGTCTGCAGGTGGGGGGCTGAGGAGGCCATTCATAAGGGGGAGAGTTCCTGAGTCTCCCAAGTGGCGCGGGGCCCAGCTAAGTTTGCTGGTGGCACTTGAGGAGGTGGCCACACCCCGGATGGCATGATTGCGTGGAGGAGGGGTCCCCCCGCCCCCAGAGGTGGTGTGGGCGCAGCAGAGAGGAGCTGGTCCTGCAGGAGTGGTGGGAGGGCATCCCAGCAGGAACCCAGCACAGAGCCGCCTCCAACACAAGACCCAAGGCCCCAGCAACGGACAGGGAGGGCGGAAACCCTGGAGGTCAGTGGGACCGGAGTCCCCCTCCGTCCGTCCTGAGGCCGGATCTTCCCATCCCTGGGAGGAGCAGTCAGGCTGAGGGTGACAAACCTGGGAGGGGGCGTTGGAGAAACACAGCGCCTCCCCCGCGGTGGTGTGCAGCCAGGAGCCAGGTGTCCGAGCCCAGGACCGGTGCCCCCTCGCCTCTGGTCCCAGGTGCAGGGCCCCTCCAGAGGCTGCTCTCAGCTATTGTGGCAGGAATAACCTGATTTGACCGAAATACATCCTTCATTTTCCCGGGGTTCGAGTGCAGCAAAGATCCGTGCCGCTCCCATGAAGGAGCCGAGGGGAAACCCCCAGCTTTGAAATGAGAGATAATAAAACTGAGATACTCCCTGGAGTTGGGTGACCCCCCCCCCACCAGATGGGAGTCTGGCTTCCCGCGGGTGCCCAGGTCCTCCTGCAGCGGCCGCTTTACCGTCCAGCCTCCCGCCCTGCCCTGGCCCGGGTGACACATGACCGTGGCGGACTTTGCCCTGGGATCCTCCTGGGAAGGGAGGAGGAGACCTGACCCCGGGGCGCGGGGCCACTGGGCCCCGCCTTGGCCAGAGTTGCGGCCTCTGACCTGTTTTCTGTTAGAGCAGATCATCTGTCTGTCCCTGCCGCGCCCACCATCCCCACCTGCCTGTGGGGGGAAGCAAACCTTGCCCGGGCCCAGAGGAGGGAGAAAGGGGAGACGGGTGGGGTCCTGCAGGACCCGGTGATGACAAGCTGCCGGGCTTCCTGGAGGGGATCAGGCCTGGGGAACACGTGAGTCGTTGTTTTAACTTCTGTGTGTTTTGCAGAGTGTGTGTGAGTGTGCGTGTCTGTGTGTATCTCTGTGTGTGTCCGTGTGTATCTGCGTGTGTGCATGTGTGTCTGTGTGCTTCTCTGTGTGTGTATGTGCGTGCATGTATGCACGTGTCTATGCGTGTCTCCGTGTGCACACGTGTGCACATGTGTGGGAGGGTTTCTGTACCTTTGCCCTTGTGCGATAATCAAAAGGGCAAAGTGTGGCGTGAGGAATTCGTTCTCCTGAGGACCGGAAGGGCCTGTGTTTGGATCCGCGTGGCTGGCTAGGTCAGGCTCCCGGAAGGAGATTCCTGTTTGTACGGTGGCTTTGGGAAAAGCCCAGCTCCAGGCCTTGACCATAAGCCGATGCGGGGCAGCCCCCCTCAGATGGATCAGGATGCTCAGTTAGTGCAGATTGGCCGGGGGGGAGCATAACCAGCTGCTCAGTAGTCTCGGTGTTCTTTACGTGCCCGGGCAGGGGTGACACCAGGGACGTCCTGGACGGTAGCCTCAGCAAAGCGGACCCCTCCCTGAAATTCCCTCCCCTACCGAAAGGAAGGACTAGTTCAGATTTGTAATCCTTTCTTTTTCCCTTTGGTGGAAAAGAGACGAGCTGGTAAGAAACTTAAAAAAACCCCAAATCAGATGCTCCAGAGGGCTTCTCTTACCCGTAATCACGAATATTGTGTTCCCGAGAAGATCTTTGTGTTTAGAAAGACTTCAAATAACCCCATCTTGATTAAATTCTAGAGGTTGGGTCAGAAGTCACATTTTCAATTTTCTCTCTGATTGTTGGAAGCTTATAGCATGTCATCACACAAAAAGTTGTACACGGAAGTGCTTTCTGCAGTCTTATTTATTACCGAGAAAACAATTATGACCAAGAAAAAAATCCGTAGTTGGGAAATGGGTTGGCAAAGTGGAAAAGCGGTAGGAATGTTCTGTGGTCACTAAATATATTAAGCTGAATGCATGTGGAACATAAACAGCAATGCGGAAAGCTGCTTTTTACGTATGTTGCTTTTTGTAAAGGTGCCATACATAATTTTATGTTAAAGCTCTGGGTTTTGGTTTGCTTGTTTTTAAGATTCATAGCCAAAAAACCAAGAAGAAAATAGGCAAAATGCCTTTCTTGGTTATATTAAGGGGGTGGGATTTTGGGTGATTTCGTTTTTTTCATATTGACAATGATGTGTTTATATTTATAGTAAAATGCTATTTTTAAACAAAGAGATGTCTCATTGCCAAAGGAATAAGATGCTGGAATGCGGCATCATAGGAATGGTATATTCATTTGTAATCCACCTGTTTTGGTTTATTCAGACATGTCTTAGGCTAAAGATTTTCTAGACCTAAGAGCTTTATTAATCCGAGTGCATAAATAGCAAGGAAAACTTGAAGGGGTATCTTTAACTACTCGAGAATGCATCGCTGTAGGTGTGTTAGAACTTTCTCTGTGCAGAATTATAGTACAAATCAATGGGGCACCTGCTTCCAGGCGGGAACCGTAAGTAGTTCTGGCTAGAGATGAGGGCATAGCTTGGGGTGGCACCGAAAGCCGGGACATTCCATTCTTATTTTTTTTTTTTTAAAGATTTTATTTATTCATTTGACAGAGAGAGAGACAGTGAGAAAGGGAACACAAGCAGGGGGAGTGGGAGAGGGAGAAGCAGGCTTCCCGCCGAGCAGGGAGCCCGATGCGGGGCTCGATCCCAGCACCCTGGGATCATGACCTGAGCCAAAGGCAGAGGCTTAATGACTGAGCTACTCAGGCACCCCCGGGACATTCCATTCTTAAAAGGATTTCTTTCTTCCAGCTTGGTTGAGCCGTAATGGACATCCAGCGTTCTGTAAGCTCAATGTGTGCGCCGTGTTGATTTGACACATTTATGGGCTCTAACGTGGTGGCCACCATGCTGTTCCTACCACCTCCATCCTGGCTCATAATTACCATTTCTGGCCCTGAGAACATTTCAGATCTACTCTCTTAGGGACTTTCAAGGATGTAATACAGTATCATTAGCTAATGTTAGATGCCCAGAATTGTTAATCTTGTAACTGGAAATTTGTATCCTTTGGTATCTTCTCATTCCCCTTCCCCAGCCTTTGGTAACCAGCATTCTACTCTGTTCCTTTGAATTTGGGGGTGGGGTGGGGAAAAAGAAGCAGTTTATAAATTAGGGTTTGCTATTGAGCTGACCGTCCTCTTGGCCATGAGCCCAGGCCGGTGGCTGGCCTGGACGGGCTCACTGCATCACCGCTTTTGGTCTGGGAAGTGCATGCTGGTGCTCTCTGCAAGGGCAGGAACCACACTGGGGTGCCCAGTGTGACTGTGAACGCAGCCTGCTCTGGCTTCGAATTCTGCATCCTTGTCTTAGAAGAGCTGTCGGGCCTCTCTGAAAGGTGGGGTAATGCCAGGACCCCCGGAGGCTGCTAGCCCAGCTTCAATAGGAGGCTCTGTGCAGCCCAAGCTGGGCAGGGCTGTGTGCGCACGTCCGCCCTGATCCTCCGGGGAAGTGGCCTGTGTGTTAGACTTAGTCACCTCAGCCTTCACAGTTTCCTCCAAGTACTCGTGCAGGACAACCTTAAAGTAAGTAACGTTCAACTTTTCTTGGCCACTCAGGGCTGAGTCCCCTGCATGGAGCTGTTCTCAATGGCTGCTGGAGGCGCTTCTTTGGTTCAACATTTTTGCAGATGCCCCAGTTCACTGCCTGGCCAGCTGCCTGGGGTTTGACCGGCCGTGCAAACCGTGGGCTGGAAACAGCATGTCTGTCCAGTTATGGCTTTTGGCTGAGCCTTCCCTGTGTGTGTTCATGAAATATTTATTGAGCACCTACTATGATCAATGAGTATAGTCCTTTGCTCTAATGAGAGGTTACAGCCCGGTGCGTGTGAGAATATTAATAAAATAATTATATAAAGTGAATCTCCTTAGAGGTTACAGTCCAGCAAGAGAGGTAAGTCATTAGAAAAATCATTCTATGAGTTAAGACAGAGTTCAAAACCGGGATTATTTCAATCAAGAAAAGGGACAGGGGACTGCGGGTCCCATGATGGCAGAGACTTGTATCTATTTTATTATCTGCTATTGATGGGGACCGGATATGATCATGGGTGGCCGCCGTGGCAGGATGGAGGTTTGCATCTACGGGACAGAGAGACCTGAGCAGATCTAGCAGATTTACCGGCAGCTGGCAACTCCCCAAGTGACCCCAGTATCCGCTTCGCGAAAACAGAGATGGAAAACTTAAAATACTTTATCTTTCTAATCCTTCTCTGAAACACCATGCATCGACACCGTAAGCATCACACATGATGGCAAAATTCATGAATCCCACATACGATGGGCCTTCCGACAACTCCCCTCTGCTGTGGCGAGCCCCCTGTCCGCAAGGGGCAGAAACAGCCCTGAATCCTCCTCTCAGGCCCTGTAACTCCCTGGTCACTTCTGTTGAGAACAGTCTTGTTAGTATTTAGGACTCAGCCCTGCTTGTTCGGGACTTTGGTCCCAAGCTGGCTTCCTCCCCTCCTGTCCCTGCAGGCAGACCAGACAGGGACAGCTGCGGGGTGGGGGTGGGGGACATAGTTTGCTTCTTGTTGCTGTCACTTTTCTCTCTGTTCCTCTTGGAAATTCCTTCCCTTCCTGCATTCCCATCACCCTTGGGGGCCTCCCTCCTGCCCACTGAGTGAGGAGGGAGAGGAGACCGTTCCCAGGACTGCCTGCGCCTGGTGGGTTTCCATGTTTTTTAGGGAAGTTTTTCTTCCTAGAAGCGACCCAGATCATAAATGGAGACAAAGTGGGGACATTAGAATGTCACCAGTCTGCAGCTCCTAGTGAAATAGTGGGTGTGCCAACAGTCTTCAGGGACCCCTAGCATCGCCACCAGAGCACATGGCCATTATTTGCCCCCTGAGGAAATGCAAAGCACACTCACGAAGCATTCTTGCCAAACGATAGCCTGTATCTGATCAGATTTCTGTTCAGAACCACCAAGCTATAGCAAATACAGGGTTCACAGGACATGGCAAGAACAGGGGCTACAAACAGCAAGATCCAGACTGCAAAGCTGCAGGACAATCTGATCTCTTGAACAAATTAATTACAAAGAAAAAAAAAAAGGACACCTGTATATATACTGAGATTTGCTGATGGAACAACAGGATGTCTGGGCTTTGCTTCAAACCAATCGTTGGTGGGAGGGGGTCTGGGGATGTGAGTGAACCAAGGTTTTGGAAGTGGAGGAGGGTGCATGAGGCCAAGTAGGACGGTCTCTGTTCCACGGTGGAGGGTGCCTGAAATTTTCTGTAATGAAACGATATGCAGGATTTACCCAAATTTATTTTGATCACAGAGCTGTTTTTCTCTATGGCATATTCCTAATGGGTGCTGAGGCTTTAGATAAAGTGGGAAAGACCAAAATATTTTGAGGTCCTTGAAACACCGACTCTAACCCATGAGCCGCAACGGAGAGAGCACGTTGCCTCTCGGATGATTCTGGTACTTTTTGGGAATAAGTAATCGATATTTTTAAAAGTGAGGAGTAATGGGAATGAGGACAACAAAGCAATGTGATAACCAGCGCACAATGATTGTTTTTCAGGGTGTGTAGCGCTTAGGATGCAGTGGGCATCCTGCTGGGCGCCTTTAGGACACTTCCCAAGCACTGCTCACAACAGACCTGTCATGCAGGGTCTGCTCACCCCGCTCTGCAGATGAGGAGACGGGGTGCTGAGTGGTGCAGGGGTACCAACCCAGGCTGCCTGCCTCTGACTCTGAGCTCTGTGCTGTTCACCAGGGAAGCGGGGCCCCAAGGGTGAACTCGCTAAGATCATTTGACGGCAGACATTCAACCTCTTTGCAAATGCTGTCTCTTTGCAGGGCATGGCACAAGAGGAAGGGGTTCCCTCTCCTGGGGCTGCCCCGGACCAGCCCTGCGTGTTCAAGCTGGCCCTCTTGGGAAGTGGCTCCATGGGCAAGTCCAGCTTGGCTCTCCGGTACGTGAAGAATGACTTCAAGAGCATCCTGCCCACCGTGGGATGTGACACGGGACAGCACGCCCTTGGTTAGTCTGCTAGAGGAGAAGCCAGGGTGATGGCCCAGGTGTGGGGCATTTCCCACACTCCCCCGGGGCCTCGGGCTGCACCCAGTACTGCAGGGAGGGGATGAGGCTTGGTCAGACACACGCTCAGTCCGGAGGGCGGTCCGGTGTCAGCTTAGTGAGAGGCTGCAGGGGGCAGATTCAGGGTCAGGGCCTCGGGCCCCAGGGCTTGGTGTGAGGGGTTCTACCTGGTGGAGGGGGAGCCCAAGGGAAGGCCCCCTAGGCTCTGCCATTCAGCTGCCCAGACAAGCTGACCTCCCCCCCTGCCGGGGGTCCCTCCTGCCAAAGCTGTTCTCCTGGGTAGTTTCCCGAAGAGTGGCTCCCTTTCTGCCTGGTCTCTGTTTACCACCTGGCCTGAATTGGGGGGGGTGGGGTGCAGAGGATGGGGTGGCTGGGAGGGAAGACCCTCTCTGTGCACTTCTTAAAGAGGTCACATATCATGGCTCTCAGGGGAAAGGTCTCTGGAGCATCTGCTGGGCTGTCGGCCTCCATCACGCGCTGCCTGGGGCTGAAATCCTGTTTCCTGCCCAAAATAGAGGAACTCAACACGCACTTCATGGCGACCCTCCTGGCAGGTGGCCAGCATGGCGAAAGACAGATCCTGCACTCGGGGCCAGAGCCTTGGCTTCAGACTTGGACTCTGCCATGGACAAGCCTTCTGCTTAGCACTTTGTCGAGTCCACTCATTCATTCATTCATTCACTCGTTCATTCATTCGCTCCCTCCCTCACTCATGTAGCAAGTACCTGCTGGGCATGGCCTCTGTCCCAGGCTGCACTGGGTGTGGAGGATTCTAGAAGACACCAAACGGGCACACTGGACATGGACACACAACGCTAAATTTGACACATGCATTAGCTACTTGCGAGCCCTGCAGGCTTTTCAGGAGGGTGAGTCCCAAGAGCGCCTGAGGGGGCCATGGGGGCTGAGGGATCTGCCAGGCCCAGGCCCCCAGCACTAGCGGTGAGCTGGGCAGAGGAGGGGTGAGGGGCTGGCTCCAGGACAGGGGATCTCCAGGAGAGCTCCGAGAGACAGTGGTTCAGGCTGGCTGAGGGGCCCAGGGCGACCTTCTCCATCAGCTGGAAGCGTGACACCGCTCAGCCACGATACTGGACTGGACTTAAAAAAATACAACAAGGTGCTAAGTCTGGCCTCAGGGTGGGGGGCTTCAGTTGAAAGCAGAGACTGGAGAAGGGGGCCTGGCCCAGTGGGATCTCAAGGGCTGTGCACCTGGGGGTGAACCGGGTGTGAACCGGGTGATGCAGATTCAAGATGAGGAAGAGAGACAGCAGGTTCCAGACCAGACGGCTCTTTGGGGTTGCATGGAAGACAGAGGCCTGCAAACTGGCTTACTAGGGATCTGCTTGGTTTTGCAAATAAGGTTTTCCAGGAACCCGGCCATGCCCATCGTTTGCATATCCTGTGGGGCTCGTTTCAGTCTGAGGCCAGCATTGAGTAGTTGCAACTGTGATGGTAGGTCCCTTGAAGCCAAAAATATTTACGGCCTTTTGCCAAAAAAATTGGGACCTTTGCACTACTGATGTGCGAGAGGGGGCCGGTCCCCTACGAGGCAGTGGGCTGCGCCTGGGCTCCAGTGGGAGGGGAGGGGCGGGGATGGTGGTGTGGACACTCGCTGTGAGCCGGGAACTTGGCTCCAAGGGATCAGCACTTGCTGGGTCCAAGGGGGTGGGCTGCAATGTGGACCCTCCCGGCGGGCAGGAGGGGGCCCCTAAGCATGGAGCCAGCTGCGTCTGGGGAGGGAGCAGGCACTCTGTATTAATGGGAAGGTCACTAACTGTCCCAAGCCAGGCAGACAGCATTTCCCAGCCCGCAGTAGGTACAGGGATGGTGGGCGAGGGCCTGTCCTGCCCACAGAAGCCTGCTCCAGTTCCTTCAGCAAGTCAGGGACCACGCTGTCACCCTCCCCCACACTCTTCAGAGGTTCTGCTAGGCTCAGGAGGGTGACAAGCCTGGGCCCAGGTCAGAGTGGGGGTCTTTGCCTGGGAGCAGGCCTAGGTGTGCTCTCTCCACTCATGGTCCTCTGTCTGGCCCCTGGACCATCCTCATCCTCATGGGCGGCTTTAGCTGCCCTCCCCCCTTCCAGGCTCAGGACCCTGCCTCTACCTTGGGGCTGGTGCTTTGGGCCTTTGTTCCCTTCCCACTGTGCCCAGGGTGCATGATTGTGCGGGGGCAGAAAACCACCAGATGAGCACCCATGGAGCCAAGACCCTCTAGCTGAGTCTGGCAATCCTTTATTCAAGCAGCTGCCGACCACGGGGCTAGAACTTACTGATGGAGCTCCTGCTCCGTGTCAGCAACCGTGCTGGGTGCTGGGGACGGAGACGTGAAAAGCCCTCCTTTGCTGTGAGGAGCTAAATCCCACGTGGAAACGCTGGCTTCCTCCACTTAAATCTCTGGGTCCACTTCACGTGCTTTATGATACCACAGCCTGTGGAGATGGCTACTACAATTATTGCATTACTATAAAAATAAAGAAGGGCAGTTAATTATTTTGTTATTATACTATGATATTTATCAGTGTATTATAGTCTATATGACTTATTAGTTATCATGCTGTAGTAATTATTACATCGTTATATATTATTATAAAGGTCGATCTTCCCACTTTTCAGGCGAGGCGATGGAACATGATCCTTCCTTTCACTTAAGCAAATGTCGTCTGTGTTTTACAAAAACCCTCTGAAGGCAGACGCCTCCGTTGCTTGTTTCCACACATGGCATTGGCTGTATCGAGAGAACTTGCTTTTGTTCTGGAGCAGGTGCAGAGGAGCTCAGCCCAGCGAGAACTCGAGAACTCGGGGCTCACCTCCTCCTCGGCAGGTGGGCAGGTTGGCAGGTGGCTGGGACGATAAAGGAAGGAGCGTGTGCCTGGTGCTTGGCGTACTGGAAACTCTCAGTAACTGTGAGCCGAGCGACCAACACATGGCTAAACGGCTTGTTGGCTCATCTTGACATTGTCGTCTGTGAAACGGGGATGTAGACACCCTCTGTGGTGGGCTCTCCGTGTGAGGCTGGCTCAAGGCTGTCTTAAGTCGTGGGTTACCATGTTATGACTTAAGGTCATCACCTACCACCCCACCCCGCCCCACTCCAGAGAGCAGGAGTGGGACCGGGGCTGGCATGTCCCGGTGTCCTGGGGGGTGCTGCCTTCCGAGCAGGCCAGCTTCGAGATACTCCAGCCTTCGGGAGGGTGGGCGCCCCTGGGCCCCCTGCCAGGGGGTCTGGATCTGTAGGCGATCGCGGGCTGCACAGGCCCTGGGTACGGCCCTCCAGAATGGTGTGCGAGCCAGGGCAGTGTTCTAGCTGTCTCAGGGCAAGATCCCGTCCAGCCAGGGGAGAGACAGACTCGTGTCCCCGAAGCAGAGCCGGAGCGGGAATCTCAAGTGAGCACAGCCCCCTGGGGGTCCACCTGCTGAGGGGAGACCCGAAAAGCCCTGGAACTCCTGCCGCCCCCCCCGCCCCCCACGGAGGCCCCCGTCCCACTGCGGGAGAGGGCCCGGTGGGGGAGGTGGCGGCTCCAGGGGGGATGCTGTGGCCGGGGACCTGAACCACGGGGAGCTCCCACAGACCCCACTGGGCTCCCCACAGACCCCCCCCCATCCTGGAGTCCCAACTGGCCACAGCCCTGGGAATTCTGGCCGGTGTCCTGGTGCCTGCCGCACTGAGTGACATCCTTTGGAGAAATGGTGACATCTAGTGCTGGCGTGCGTATTTGCTGGTGGATCGCAGTGGCCTGTGTGCGAGGGAAAGAAAGGCAGCCCGCATTCAGCGTTGTCACCGTCCTGGCCCCTGTCAGCTCCGCCCCGGGAGAGATGCTATGCATTTCAGGTTCCCTTCAACCAGGACTCTGCTGAAAGGCAAACCCAGTGGAGAGGCTTCGATGAGCGGAATCAGCTGTTTGTTGACATTAAAACCAGAAAGAGCACAACCACGTTCCTTATGTCAACATTTATGGAGACACTTTTAAATCTGGGGCAATCTGTCCTTCTTACGCCCTTCACCGCGCAGAGGGGGGCGCTGTGCAGCTCACCTGCTTCCAGGAGCCCCCCTCCCGCCGCCCAGAGGATGGAGCTGAGGCCGGGGCGGGGCTGATGCTGGGATGCCAGTGCTGAGGTCCATGGTGGGACCAGAGGCGGAAGGAGACCTGGTTTGTGCCCTGATGGGACCATGATATGCAAATGCACCCGGTGGCCCCAGCTCAGTCCACCCGAGGCCCCGTGAAAATGTGCGCATGTGTCATCTCCACCAGCCTGTTCTAGAACGGAAAAATTCCTGGTTCTTGGCCTGATCCCACCCCCACCCCCCACCTTGTGGCTAATATCATTTGGTTGTTTTTGGCTTTAGCTGTGACGATGTAGAAAATGTGGTCAGTGGGTTTCTGAACAAGGGAGATAATTAATGTGAGCTCTTTTCCTGATTGGAGCCAAGGGTGTCCGTGGGGCCGGGGTGGGTGGAAGGTTGTCCTGGGGACCAGTCCAGGGGCCCCAGAGGGACCTCGTGCCTCTCTCCAGGAGGGTCAAGGTTCTGCGGTCTGTGAACATCCCGTCACTCGTGCCTCATCATCACTGGGACCGAAAGCCCTCTCTGCAACTTTGTTGGGGTGCACGTGGACTGAAGCTCGACCAGCAGCCGTCGTTTACCAAGTGGAGAAGCAGATGGGAAGCTAGGGTTGTTGAGCTGGGGAGGCTGACCCAAGCGTGACGCCCATGGGGAATCTGGTGGTGGTGGGTTTTAGGGTACAACCAAAATCAAGTTCAGGAATGTGATTGGACATGATAGAAGGATGTGGACAGAAGGCCACCGTCCCAGCCAGTGGGTCAGGGAGAGCCCAGGGCAGGCAAAGGAAGGGGAGCTTCATGCACAGATCTGCTCTCCTCTCTTTTCTCGTCGTTTGACACCCACTGTGGGAAGGGGGCACCGTTGGCTCGCGATGAAGAAGAGGACACTGAGATTTCGAAGGGTGGGAGAGACAGACAGGGGGTTGGGAGGGAGAGGGAGAGAGGGAGGGGGAGAGAAAGAGATCAAGCATCCTGTGTCTCTTCTTACAAAGGCACGGATCCCACTGTGGGGGCCCCACCCTCATGACCTCATCTAACCCTGATTACCCCCAGAGGCCCCACCTCCTAACACCATCACTTTGGGGGATAGGACTTCACATATGAATCTGGGGGAGACAAGGCGCCTAGGAGGTTGATGGGACTTCAGGTTCGTGGCTGTGCAGGGAAAGGCAGGATGTGCAGGCAGACACCGGTTGGTGGGTTCTGTTAGGAGCCCCCCAAGCTAGAGTCTCCTGCCAGCGAATCATGGTCTTACCCACTCTACGCTGAAAACCTCAGCTCAGACTCGTCCCTTATCCTCTGTCCCTAGCAGGGTGAATCATCCCCCCAAAGCTACGTCCACATCCTGCCTGCCTCGATGGCCCAGCCCGAGCTGGAGATAAAGACCGTGTCCTCTAGGTAAAGCTCCCCCCGGGCTTCTGTTTCAGGTGCGTTCTTCACGACGGTGGTGGACTTGGGGCCGTGTTTCTGAGGTTTGAGATCTGGGACACGGCTGGCCAGGAGAAGTACCACAGCATCTGCCACTTTAGGGGTGCCAACGCTGCGCTTCTGGTGTACGACGTCACCAGGAAGGTGAGGCTCGCCTCCAGCACGTCCCCACCCTCCTCTGCAAGGCTTCCTGTTCTCTCAGGCACAGGGATGCTCTCTTCTGAAGGCTTTCCGTGACCAGCCCATGCTGGTGCTTCATGGGAAAATCACCACAACCAGTAGACAACACCTTCGTGAAAGTCTGTCACTTCCTCCAGGAAGCCCTCCCTGATAACCCCTGCTCCTACTACTGCACGGTTGAGTTTGTGCCCCTGCACGGTCCTCTCAGAACACCCTGCACAGAGCACTCCCATCCATCACTCACGATTCCTTGGGTGCCCACAGCATTGGTGAGGGGCGTGCCCTGGAGACAGCACACCGTCCCTGGCCCTACCTCTCCCCCAGTGTCGTGTGGGTCGATGCTAAGTACGAGTGAGCAGGTACTTAGAGCAGGAGGAGGGAAGGGCAGGGTTCTGTGGGAATTGATAGGAGGCGCACCTGACTCCGCTTGGGCTGGGGGTGCTTCCTGCATGAAGGGAGGGAGCAGTGGGGATCAGCCTGATGGGGTGGGGTGGGGAGGGGAGGAGGCGGAGGGCAGGTGAGCAGAAGGAGAGCAGAGTCTGTGGGTGGGGTGAGGGTGGGGCGAGCACGATGCCATGGGCTGCAGCGTGGGAGGCCGCCCACTTGAGCAGCTCAGCTGCAGGGAGGGGAGCGGGGCTACGTGTGGGGGGCTGTCACACGGCCAATTGGATCATATGCCTTTTTACAGGGCGGCCCACCAACGTCTGCCTGTTCTTTGCCGGGATAGCTGATGAAAGCCACCCATGGGATTTGTCTGATGTTGATTTTTTCCCTTTGTTAGGATTCCTTCTGCAAGGCTCAGCAGAGGCTGAAGGACCTGGAGAGGGAGTCTCCCCCAGGGGAGGTGGTGGTGATGCTGGTCGGGAACAAGACGGACCTTGGCGAGCAGCGGGAAGTGACGTCCCAGGTAGCCCTTGACACTGGGTCGCTTTGTTCCCCGAGGCGGGAAGAGAGAGGCCCCAAAGCACACATATCCAAGCACACACACACCTGCACCCTGTCACCTGCCCATTCGCCTGCACACCCCCCCCCCCATGTATGTCACATGCACAAACACATATACTTCCCACTTGAATTTCCCTCTTGGGCAAAGGTTTCTGGGCTCTCCTGGAGAAGTCAGGTCTAGAGACGGCTATTCCGCAGACGTGGGGAGGGCTGCACGCACTACCCAGGCCAGGCCTCCTGTGAGCGGGCAGAGGGTCGGCCCCGCGTCCTGTCTCCCAGGGAGCAGGGAGATGCTGTGCAGCCCGCCTGCAAGGGTCCCTGCAGGGTTAGCCAGGGTCGCGAGGAGCCCATGGCCCTTCATACCCGGCCCTCCCATGTTCACTTATGTGGGTTTGCAGATCTTTTTCTTTGTGCTCAATAAATTATTGATAAAGGGACAGGTGAGTAAATCCAAATTTCCTTGCTAGGAACTGAGTGAGAGAGAGTCAAGAAGAAAGCCAGAGTTTCATAAAACAACCAAAGGCAGGAAAAATGCCTCGGAGATGCAAGCAGAGTGCTATGAGACATCAGGGCAGTGAGCGAGGGGTGTGTGTGTGTGCAGGCGTGTGTGTGTGTGTCTGTGTAGGAGTGTGTATAAGAGGGTGTGCAGGAGTGTGTGTGTGTATGGTTCTGGGAGCTGGGGGAGGAGGGGACAGGCCCGCATGGAGGTGGCAGTGCCGGGAAGATCATGGAGCTGTGTCCACTTCCAGCATCTCGGGGCGGTGGCCCCGGGAGGGACAGCATCTAATGGGGCAGCTGGGGCGGGGTTGGGGGGCCAGGCCCCTCTCGGCTCTCTTCCCCTGGCTCTGAGTTTAGCAGGTGACGGTTGTGCCCAGCAAGCCTGAGGACACACACTTCCAGCCCGTGGTGTGAGCGGTACTGTTTATATGTCTGCAAACATCCAACCGCTGTCTCTAACCTGGTGTTGCTGAGTTTGCAAGGCCGGGGTTTGTTATGCCTCGGGTTCTAGGAGGGCTCATCCTGAGCGAATAAGGAGGCAGGCCCATGCGCCGCCTGTGGTTCAGGTGGCATAGGACATTTCTCCAGGGGTGACACGTCGTGCGTTCGCCCCGTTACTGCCTGCTTTTAGGGGGAGGCCCAGATAGTCTTTTTGGGAGCTAAGCCCTGATGTCGAGGTGAGGGTGTTTCAGAGGGGACTCTATTTTGTGAGGGGGAGGGGTGGTGTTGGTTTTCATCCTTGCCCCTGGGTCTGGGATAAGCAAGTCTGAAATTATAAATACTAAGACACCGCTGTCCGCCTGAAAAGGCCGGCTTCAGTATATTCACCGTAAGGATCAACAGCAGGGCAGGTGTTAAGCATCCTTTCACGATGACGCTGAACTCTGGACACCCATGAAGGGTGTGCCAGCATTTCTAGGGGTTCCTCTGGACTGGTTCTCTGCTTGTGTCCACCCTGCATGGGCCCATCATCCCAGCCACGGACCTGGACCTTTGGCTGGGGCCCAGTGGATGGGGAGCCCAGGACTGACCAGGACACACCCTGGCATTGGCTAGGACCCATCTAGCTGAGGTTGTCTCAGCGTGGCTGAATCCCGCCAAAGGTCAGGGCTCCCCGCAAGCCTCCCTCCTTTGTTCTGGCCCCTGGTCCCTCCCTCATCCAGCAGGCCTGGGACCTCCTGCATTCCAACCTCATGGAAGGAGGTTGCACCCAGGCCCTGAGGAGGTGGGGACAGCCCAGGTGCCCCACGGATCCAGACCTTCCTGATGCATATTCTCAAGCAGCTTCTCGTGTGTCTTTCCAGGCAAATGCAGATTTCACAAGGCTTCTCTTGTCATGATCGTCAAGAAAAGCTAAAGGATAAGTACAGAGATAAAAGCGTCCGAGAGAGCCTGCTGCCCAGATTTCCACTCACGCTATTATGTTTCTTAAACAATTTCACCGGTTTCTGACTGTAGTCAAGTTGCACGGTGTTTCATATGATTATTCCCACGTAGATGAAGTACGTGGAGGTGAGTCCCTGGGGTGCCAGGCTGTGTCTTGCACTTTCCCCGCCACCTCCCCGCTGCAGCAGGGCTGGGGACCCCCTCTGTGCGCACCTGGTGGGACCAACCTTGGACACTGGTGTGTCCCTGGCCACTAGATGGCGCTCCAGCATCGCTCAGGGCAAACCCCGCTGCTCAAGGGGCCCCGCATTCTCTCTGCTAAATGCCAGGCTTTCGGAGAAATTTCCGACAAGTTGATTGATGCCACGGCAAGTAGGGAAATAAGGATCATGCGTGTAGGATGCCCACATATCTATGCCTATTTCCCTCCCGTTTTGTCAAGTCAGTATCACTGTGCTAGAATTTATTATTAAAACATATCCTTGGACGGATTTCCACCAGGCATCCTTCCACTGTGCCCCTAGACTGGATGGGGTGCGTTGTGCTTCTGGAGCTCAGGTTCCCCATCTCCTGGGATGTGATTGCTCCTCATCCTCTCCTCTGCCCCACCAGGCAAGTGGCTCAACCCTGCTTCGGAATCACCTGGAAGCCTCCGCCTGCAGCGCCCCTTGCCCACCACAGGCTGTCGTTCCATCCGTCTACAGTGCAGCTTGCGCCCTGGGCTCTGGGCGTTTTGAGCCCTCCCCGGTGAATCTAATATTCTGGCAAGGTGGGGAATGTCCCCGAGGGCAGAGGTTCTGTTCTTCCTTCTGTGGGGTGCTCGGTGCCTGGCAACATCTGACACAAGCCAGGTGCTCAACAAATGTGTGTCCAACAAGAGGATAGAAATTGGTCCTTCCCCTGAGGTCTAAAGGAAAGGCAGTCCCCAAAACCAGCCTTCACCACAACTGACAGGTGTTTATGGAAGGTTTTCTGTGCCATGCTTTGCCCACCTCAGCTCCATCCCGAAACCTGTGATGGGGGGGCATTGGGTGTGGAGCATGCAAAGCGATGTGTTCCCCACGAAGACTCCTGGGAATACCACTTCCAGGTCCGCACTGGCCTCGGGTCCCGAGGAAGGCCAGCCTGGGAGCCCCCTGTCCTGCCTGCCGCCTGGGAAGCTGCTCCAGCCCTGCTCAGCCTGAGTTTGGACCTGGCTCCTCTCTGGAGCTGGGGGTGTGTGTGTGCACGTGTGTAGGTGGTGGGGGCAGGAGGCTCTGAGGATTCAGAAGTGGCCCCTCGGAGGAACCCTGCTGACCTGCCTGCGACCGTACCCCTTCCTTGTCTTCTGTTTCTGTGGGAGGGGTCTCCTCCAGCCACCCTGGAGGAGTCCCCTTCGCACAGTCAGAAAGAAAACCACAAGGCCCAAGAAGTCACTGGAGTTAAGGCATCACTAAAGCCAGATTTAATACTTAACCCAACTTCAGTTTCAAGCCCCTCTGGAATGTAACCTTTAACCTGCCACACTGGAATTTCCTGGAGGCACTCTTCTGAAAGACCCCTTCCCCTTTACAAGGGCGACCTTGCCTAAACAACATTAATGAATTCCTTGAAAAAAGGGAGCCTTCTCTCTACATTTAGAAAGCTTTCCTTTTCTGCACCTTGGCAGAGCATCTCTCTACTGGCTAGACTGGATGCTGCCCCATTCATGAGTCACTTAATAAAGCCAATTAGATCTTCAAATGTTTGAATTTTGTTTTTTAACAGCCCAGAGGGCCCAACTCAGGGATCCATTCTTCTTCTTTTAAAATTTATTCCTGGGGCTCTTGGGTGGCTCAGTCCATTGAGCTGTCCGCGTCCGACTCTTGATCTCACCTCAGGTCTTGATCTCACGGTTGTGAATTCAGGCCCTGCGTTGGGCTCCATGCTGGGTGTGGAGCCTGCTTAAAAAAATTTTATCCTCTTCCCGGGGCTCCCACTGGCCAAATCGAGGACAATCTGAGCATCCAAAATTATTTGTCGGTGTTGAACAGAGAGAGAGAGGTGGGTGGGACCTCCTTTAGAAGAATCCAGCTAATAAATGTGGAAGGAATTGGAGAATCTCCTTTGTGTGACAGGGGTGTTCAGTGGGTGCTTAAATGACTGGCTGGGGGCTCTGGGTAGACCAGCTCCTGCCTCAAGCACACAGTGAGCCACAGGAAGGCCCCTTAGAGTCGAGATCTACCTCTATGGGAGGGCCAGGCCCAGCATCTGCCAGAGCGGGGCCCGGACTGTCCATCGGATGAGGTGCAATAGAAGGGACACAGAGCCCTTGTGTCCCCAGTGAGTAACCAAATCCAGCTGAGGCCCTGGATCTCCCTCTCAGACCACAGGAAATGCGGGGACAGAACAGGAACAAAGTGAACAATCCACAGGCAGGTGCTGGCTGCAGGAACAAAGTGAACAATCCAGGTGAACAATCCACACATCACACACTGGATCATTCTACAGGATACTGTGTCTGGGGTCTTGTAAAAGTCAACGTCACGACAAAAAAAGATCAGGGACTAATGAGCAATACCTAACAGCAACAGTGAATTTAGATTGCAACCTGGTTTCAAAAAGAAAGAGAAAGAAAGAAAGAAAAAAGAAAGAAAGAAAGAAAGAAAGGAAGGAAGAAAGGAAGAAAGAAAGGAAGAAAGAAAGAAAGAAAGAAAGAGAAAGGAAGAAAGAAAGGAAGAAAGGAAGAAAGAAAGAAAGAAAGAAAAAGAAAGAAAGAAAGAAGGAAAAAGAAAGAAAGAAAGAAAGAAAGAAAGAAAAAAGAAAGAAAGAAAGAAAAAAGAAAGAAAGAAAGAAAGAAAGAAAGGAAGAAAGAAAGAAAGAAAGAAAGAAAGAAAGAGAAAGGAAGAAAGGAAGAAAGAAAGGAAGAAAGAAAGGAAGAAAGAAAGAAAGAAAAAGAAAGAAAGAAAGAAAAGAAAGAAAGAAAGAAAAAGAAAGAAAGAAAGAAAGAAAGAAAGAAAGAAAGAAAGAAAGAAAGAAAGAAAGAAAGAAAGAAAGAAAGCCAGCCAGCCAGCCAAGACTTTCCGGCCATACTTGTGGATTTTTGAATATAGACTAGAAACTAGATGATATTATGGAATTATTCGAAAATGATTTAAGCACAATAATTTTATGATTATGCAGGAGACTGTCCTTATTTTGAGGAGGAACACGTGGGAACATCTAGGGGAGATGTCATGGTGTCCATAACTTACTTCCAAATGGGAAGGGGGGGAGAGAGAGGGAGAGAGAGAGAGAAACTCGGTAATAATTGTTCAGTCTAAGTGGCAAGTACGTGGATGCTCATCAGACTACTTTTTGAACTTTCCTGTGTGTGTGAAAGTTTCATGGTAAGTTGTAGGACACATAAACCCCCGCCTCTTCATCTGTCCGGGGCACAGATGTACTAGCATCCTGGGGCTGCCCATCCTCACGTCGCTGTGTTGCCCTGTCTGAGCCTCACCCTGAGCTGTGAACTCTTTTCTAAAAAAGCGTGCAATTCAGTGGCGTAAGCCCATTTATAGTGTTCTGCAACCGCCACCTGAGTCCGGTTCCAAGGCATTTTCATCCCCACCATTAAGCAGTTACCCTGACAACCAGCAATGTCTCTTTTCTGCACATTTCATATAGATCTGGTCATGCAGCGTATGGGCTTCTGTGTCTGGCTTTTCCCACTTAGCATCACGTTTTCAAGGACCCACGCTGGAGCATTCAGCCCAATTCAGTCCTTTTTAATGGCTGAATCATAATCCGTGGTGTGGCTGGACCAGGTTTGGTTTATCTGTTCAGCTGTTGCTGGGTATTTGGTGTTTCTACCTTTCTGTCTATGGTGAATTGTGCCGCTGTGAACATTTCTGTATAAATATTTGTTTGAACACCTGTTCTCACTTCCTTCGGGGACGGAGCTGGGAGTGCTATGGGCCATATGGCGACTCTATGTGTAAGTTTCTGAGGACGTGCCAGACTGTTTTCCTGGCTGCTCGCTCTTCCAGGCCTGGGCCAGCACCTGCCTGCCCTAGGCAGGGTCCTGGCCCCTCCTGTCCCCGTGCTCACTCCACCCTGGGCAGGTGCCCATGTAGCGGGGGCTCTTCCCTGGGAGGAGCTGACCTCCGCCCCCCTGGGGCCTCCCTGGGGCTGGAGAGGTGGGGCAGCTCTGCTTCCTCTTGATGGACTCCCCTTCCTTGAACTGGAGCAGGGACAGCTGGGGTCTGGGGTCCTGCAGGCCTGCTCTGGGGACTCCTGAGTGTGGACCGACAGAAGTCCCATCGTCAGGGTGGGCTCCTGAGACCCTGCAAACAGTGCAGGCAGAGGCCCGCATGCTTTGGGTGTGGAAGTAACTGGATAAGCCTGTCCCTACCGCCCTCCTTCCCGTACTCTGTGTTGGAGTGGGCCTTGGGGAAGGGGTCTACGCTGAACACACACACCGTGTTGGCCCGCAAGCAGGTGCTGTGCCTGCCTGAGCTGTGGAACGAGGCGGGTGTCACTCTCCTGGGTGTTCAGATGTGGAAATTGAGTCTCAGAGTTAAGGGCTGGGCTCAGTTGCCTGGTCGGAGGCAGGACACAGGGACATCTTGGCACAGTTTGAAACAGGTGGTAAAGGGAAACACTGTGGTTCATTTAAGGTTCATGTCTTCTGCTATTGATTAGAAACAAGCAGCTCACGCTTCTCTTTCTCCTCCGAGTGCTAAGAGAGGTAAAAGAGACTGGGCTTGGAGAGGGACAGGTCAGGCTGAGGGGCTGTGCTGCCCTCCCCCGGGGCCTCCTGCACGGGGTGGTGCAGTGTGCAGCCTGGGCAGCCACTCAGAGCGGCCTGGGTGGAGGGTATGATGGGCTGCAGGTGACCCTGGAAGGCCCCACTCCCCTACTCAGTGCGGGGTGCCCTCGGGCAAGTCATGGCACCTCTGGGCTGCTGGGCTCTCAGTGTCCTTCCAGGCTAACATGCCATGAGGACGAACAACTCCCACGTGGCCACCACAAAGACGCATCGCAGCAAGGCCAGCTGCTTTTATTAGGATCGAGGGGGAAGTAGCCCGTGGAGGCGGGGAGGCTGGGGGTTGGCTCCTGGAATTATTCCTCCATGGGCTGGGCTGTCACCCATCCTGGGCGGGCTGGGTGCCTCCTCGCAGGGGGAAGCAGGCCGGCTGGCGCCAGAATCTCGGCTTCGCCACGTCCCCCAGGGCTGCTCTCCTCCGGCCGAAGCGGCCCACGGGCCTGATTCTGCGGCCCGTGTACCAGGCAGGATTGATGTCAGGGGCTGGGGAGGAAAGAGCAAGAGCCGGGCGTGGGTGTGGGCGGTGCGTCCCCTGACACCGTGCACCGTGTGCTCACTCCCACGGGTGGCAGGGCCCAGTGCACGCGCACAGCGCTCCCCACAGGGGCCCCCAGCTCACCCCTGCGCACCTGCCCAGGCCATGCTGGGACCCACCTGCACAGCAGGGACACCCAGAGTGGGTGGCGAGGCCACTGCTGGGTAGGGGGGAGCGTTGGGGAATGGGAATTCAAGCTCACCAGCAACCCCTTCCTCCCCTCGCCCCACCCCCAGGTTCTCGGCCCAGGCCACCCCGGGGGCAGGAAGTGACCCCCTCCACTGTGTGCGGCTCAGGGGCAGGGGCGCCGGGGAGCTGGTGACAGGGCCACCCTGTGGAAAGACAGGCCACACCCCTCCCGGAGCTGAGGCACTTAGCAAGGCCGGTACCCCTGGTTGGGAGGTGGCCAGGCCCCGGCCAGGTACCTGGGGGTGGAGGGGTGGGGGCGGGCGAGGGAGGCTGAGGCCCGGGGTCCGGGCACTCACTGCGGATCTCCATGGAATGCTGGTGGGCTTGGCTGGCAGCCCCCTTCAGGGCCAGGCCCAGCAGGAGCAGGCACAGGAGCCAGGCCAGCAAAGGTTTCATCCCCCGGCTCCTCGCTCGGGCCCTGCTTGAGGTGGGATCCCACACGGGAGGGCACAACCTGGGGCGGAAGGACAGGAGCAATGTCACGTACACGCGAGGCTGCGTGCTCACCAGGGTGGCCGCCCGAGATAATGTGAGCGTGGTGTGTGCGTGGGCGTGCGTGACATGTGAGTGCGTGTGTGCAGCCACACTTCCCTGTGCACTCTGATCTGTGCCCGAGCGGTCCTGGGCGCCGATCTAGCAGGCAAACCCGGCTCTTCGCAAAGCCCGTCGCCCGCCCTGGGACCTCGTTCTCTCCTCTGTCCGGTGAGTGTTGTGTGAGGCCATCGCGTGCGTGTCAGCCTCTGACGGGCTCAGACACGTTTGCGCCGACCCTCTGTCCTGGGGAGGATCCGGAGGTGTACATGCGGTGGGCGCAGGGAGGTGGACTGTCTTGGAACGGCCCTGGTCGGTCGGTCTGTCTGTCTGTTAGGGCACCGGAGGGACGGGCGCTCTCTGTACCACTGTGTGTGCTGTGCGCCCGGGCAGGGAGGGCAGAGGTGAGCAGGCTGTGGGGAGCTCGTCCCCAGGCGCCCAGGGTCGCTGGAGAGGTGTAGGGGTGATATGCCAGCCTCAGACATGGCCGGGGCTGGGGTGTGTCATGCCTGCCACAGGCTCATGGGCTACGACCCCCGTTGAGGCTTCTTTCCCTCACTCAGCCCAGGACCTCCCGATACCCCCACAGGGTGGGCAGCGGCCGGGAGATGCAGGGGAGTCAGTCCTCTGTCCTTACCAAGCGCACTCACCCTCATCATGAGCCCAGATGCCATCTGCTGTGTCTCCAGCAGGTGGGACCCCCTGCCACCCATGCGGCATGGCAGGACTAGAGGGCTGTAGGCAGCAGGGGCACCCGGAAAGTCCTCGTTCACCCTGCCGGAGTAGAGGCGCTGACCTGCCTAAGCAGCATCCATCAGGCTGACCTGGTACCCAGCCCGCAGGGGCCCATACCCTTGGCACTTGGAAGATGCCTGGGAGCCCTGTCTGTTTCAGGGAGGACCCCCTCTGCTGACCTTGACTTTCCAGCCTGTCCGAGCCCCATGGAAGGCAATTTAAAATGCACACCTCTTTCCATTTTAGAGGCCTGTTGGGGTGTCACGCACCGGGTGGGGTGGGGACCCCCAATCTGGAGGAAATGGAGGTGCCCCCATGAAGCGGAGTAACAGAGAGATCCATCCAGACCGGCTGGGCTGTTTCTTGTCCCTCTGGGCGGGACCCACGCCAGGTGGTTGGCATTGTAGGACCTGCTTCCCAGCCCACTGGAGATTTTTGCCGCCGGCCCTTTGGGCCTCCCAGTCTGCATTCCCAGAGCAGTTGCATGGGACAACTTCGCCTTTTGTCTCCCCCGCGGACCACGCTTGAGCATGGGGGCCTCTGGGCAGTCTGGTGTCCCTCAGACGCACCAACCCCTGGCTGCAGGGAGCCCCCACCCAGCCCACCAGGGAGGAGAGTGGCCAGGAAGGAGCACAGAGAAACGGCGCGAGAGCTACTCACTGCGGGTCCCCACGAGGGCGGCGGCAGCGTTGGTGAGCGTGCTGTGGTGACCCAGGCAGAGCCAGCTCGCCCCTTTTATAACCCGAGGAGGAAGCAGCCCGCCCCCCCAGATGCCCCCCTCTCCGCCTCCCCTCCCTCCCAGGGCGGCATCAGGACAGAGCCTCCGCGTTTTTTCTTCTATTTTTTAAAAAAACTCATCAGCGACATGATTTGTCCCTTCCTGGGTTATATAATTGCATTTGGGTTGAGTGGTTTTAAAACACATTAGCCTTCCTTCTTCACACTGGCCCTTGGGCGGACGGCAAAGGTAGCAGGAGCGCCCGGCCCGGCCCGGCTTCGCTGCCCTCAGTCCCCGCCGGGTGACACGCAGACCAGCCTCGTCCTGTTTCTGTGACGCGCACCGTGCTTTCTCCTAGGCCTTCCACGGTCTTCACGATTGATGTGTAGAACTAGCAAGTTTGTTACTGTTATAAAACAAATGCATTAATTTTTATTATAATTTTTATTATACAATAATAAACAAATTTGTTTTGTATTATAAAAGCGATTTATATACATTGGGGAAGAATTTAGCGCATATGGAAAAACGAGGGGAAAAAAAGCACCAATAATGAGGAGGAAGCCAGTCATTCAGCACATGTGATATATCTCCTTCTAGTGGGCTATCTCCCCGCACATTTTCTGGGTACATTCCCTGGATGTCCACATTTTGAATCTCATTGCTTTCATTCAACAGTCATGCCCTCGAGTTGTTAAAAAAAACCCTGTGGATTGATGCCATTTAAAATAGCTGCATAACATTCTGCCATCTAACTGGGACTTGAGAACCCAACTCACTCGTATTCTGAATTACAGAGGGCGTGAAGGTTATGTACGTGCTGTTGTGTGCAGTGCTAAGGAGCTCCTCCTGGGGAAGAGGCCTCCTGGTGGCTCCCCTCAGATGAATGTGGGGGGACAGCCCCCACTTCTTGCCTCTGTCAGACTTCTAGCAAAAGCTTCAGGGCGCACCTGACCCCTCAGGGGACCAGTCCCACACGCTTCTCCCTTGCCCCACGGCTGCCCATTCCTAGCAATGAAGGTTCTGTGGGCTCCTGGGATGATCGGGGGTCTGGGGGCACAGATGAGGGGGCAGCGCAAGGAGCATGGGGGTGGAGGGCAGGTGGGGGGCTTCTACCCTGGGCTGTGGGGTAAGGACACTGGAATTCCTGGGGCAGCCATGCTCAAGAGCTCCCGGCGCTCCTAGTTGGGGTGATGGTGATGCCGGACGCTGTCGTGGGGTGTGGTCCTATCTGGAGGGGGGTCCCCTGGGTGGTCCCCACAGATGTGTGCACAGTCCCAGGGCCCCCTGGGGCAAGAGAAACGGAGATCATGGGAGCCCTGGGAGGCTTCCTGGCCATCACCGTGGGAGCGTGTGTGTGTGCGCTTACACGTATGTATGCATGCGTGTGCACGTGTACGTGTGGGTGTGTGAGTGCGTGTGCACGTGTGTGCATGTGCGTGCACGTGTGTGGGGGATAGAGAATCCTCCCTTATCAGCTAAGTAGCTCTGTCTCAGCGTGGCGTTGGCGCCTTGCCACTGTGGGGGTCCGCCAGCAGGTGACGGCCTCGCTCCCACCGGCCCCCCGTCCTTGAACCACCCTGTGCACAAGCGTTCCAAGCCCTCCACTGTCCTGACCCTCCCCCGCCCCCCGCCCTGGCACACTTGTCTGTTGGGGGTTGGCCAACCTTATCAGCTCTGCGGGCCGCAGTCCCTGCTGCAGCCACAGGCCACCCCGAAGGGACCGTTGACGGCTGGGCACCTGTAGGGACTTCTACAAAACCAGACCGCGGCTGGATTGGGCCCCTGGGCGGCAGGGGGCTGCCCCTGTATTTCCAGCAGGAAGATGACTCACTGTAGGGGTGAGCGCATCATAGAGGGAGGCCCTCAGACCCTTGTCTGGTTTCTTGAGGTCGCAGTGACCCATGTGCGGGATCAAAAGACCTGCTCCCCCTGCTAGTCGAGCGGGATGCTTCTCATCTGGATCCGGCAGCCCCCCCAGGTCGGCCAGGGCCTGGGATGCACGTGGCCCTGCGCACGCTGTCTCTTTGTGTCTGGAACCATGAGCTATGGCCATTGCAGGGACAGTCAGGACGGGCTGGAGAGGCCGCTGGGGGCCGCCTGCTGAAAAGTCTGCTGAGCGGTTCACGGTCATGAGGGACACCTCAGAGAGGTCACAAGGGCATGGCTGCCACAGAGCCTCTCCCGGCCCTGCCCTTCCTGAGGCTGGGTCTTGGGCTCCCACTGTCCTGAAGGAAAGTGCCATGAGTCTCAACACTCTCTATCTCACTTGGGCCGGTTTGAGTGGATTCCGCTCCTTGACATTAAAGGAGCCCCACATTGAAGAGACCTTCATGAGGGGCTCAACCACCCCTGTTCTTCACGTTAGCATGATTAAGAGGACCGCACTTTTGGAGTGAACTGGATGCTTTTGAGACCTTTGAGCTTTTACCCTCAACAAGGTGGGTCTCCAGGCAGACTCAGCAGGTAGCATGATGATGGGTGGCTGTTTTTGGGTTTGGTTTTTAGACCGTGATGGTGCAATGGGTTGAATAGTGTCCCTCCAAAATTCATGTCCACCAGGAACCTCAGAATGTGACCTTATTTGGAAATAGGGTCTTTGCAGATGTAATCAAATTAAGATGAGGTCATGCTGGAGGAAGGTGGGCCCTGAATGCAGTCAGTTGGGTCCTTATAGGAAGAGGACAGACCCTCAGACACGTCAGGGGAAGGTGCTGTGAAGACAGAGTTAGAGATGGGAGTGACGTGGCCACAGCCAAGGACTGGCAGTGGCCACCAGGAGCTGGGGGGGAGGATGACATGGCTTCTCCCTCAGAGCTTCCAGAAGGAACTGGCACTGCTGACATCTTGAACCTGGGCTTCCGGCCTCCTGAGCTGTGAGAGAGGAAATTTCAGTTGTCCTCACCCACTTGCTTGTGTCACTGGGTGACGGCCCCAGGAAACGGATGCTGTGCTCTGTGTGAAGAGCGACTGATGAAATACTACTTTCTGGTGCTTATTTCTAGAAGAAACTAGTCCTTGTGACTTTGGCCTGTGTGTTTCGAATATGGGATCCTTCTGGAGGCCCAGAAAGACATGCACAGTCTGACAGGAAAGAGGCGGCCACCGGGGCCTGGGAGTCACCAGAGTCCTAGCAGCAGAGTGACCGTGGCGAGTGGGGCCTTCGGTCAGCGGCAAAGCTCCTTCTGACGTAGAAGGAAAATCCAAACGCTTAAATTTTTTTTTTTTTTTACTTACAATCAATTTAACCCACCTAGAGTGTAATATTAGTTTCAGAGGTAGAGGTCAGTGATTCATCAGTTGCATACAACACCCAGCACTCATTCCATTAAGTGCCCTCCTTAATGCCCATCCCCCAGTTACCCCATTCTCCCCATCCCCCTCCCTTCCAGCAACCCTCAGTTTGTTCCCTGTAGTTAAGAGGCTCTTATGGTTTGCCTCCCTCTCTGTTTTTATCTTTTTTTTTTTTTTTAAAGATTTTATTTATTTATTCATGAGAGAGAGAGACAGAGGCAGAGGGAGAAGCAGGCTCCCCGCGGAGCAGGGAGCCCGATGCGGGGCTCGATC